AATGTGATTTTTTACAGGTATATATTACTCGACGATTTCTACACATTCAACGGTTCAGATTATCAAAACGAGACCTGTGGTGGACCCCCACGGGTCCAACAGCACAGTCCAGTTCGATCCCGGACTGGACAGAAGCCATACCCTATCAAAATATCCCCAATAATATTCGCATTTATAGTGTGAATGTTTCGTGATGTGAATGGTCACACCGTTAATGTAAATATTCACATTGTAAAATATGAATATTCATATCATTAAATTGTTAACCGTTTAAAAAATATTTGTGAATGTAGAAATATCCATAAAATAATTTTATAATGAGAATTAGGATTTAGTAGATCAAATGTTCAAATAATAGGACTTATTGGAATACAAGAATATCTTATGGACTAATTGTGATACAAACACTTGAAAAATGATTTTCTAATAAATCTCTCAATATTTTACACATTTATTTATTTATTTATTTTATCAAATTAACTTTTATTATATGTTTGGATGATGATCATGTAATGGGTGATTGTTTTTATTTTCATTAAATAAGTTTCTATTTTTCGAAAGTCAAATATGGAGACAACTTTAATATTATTATTAAACCAATTCATTAAATCAAAAAATCTAAAACTAAAAATATTTCATATATTAAATATATTGATCATTAAAAGCCTAGTAACCATCTGTTACATGATTATCATCTAAGAACATAATAAAAACTAATTTGATAAAATAAATAAATAAATAAATAAATGCGTAAGAGATTTATCAATTTTACTTAATTTTATCTTTAGTGGGTAGAAATAATTTTTAAAAATTTAAAAATATTTTTTTACATTAATTTTTGTCAAATTAGTTTATATTTTAACAAATTGATGACTTTGCCCTTAAATTGAGCATTGGTATCTTCAATTGTCCTTATTTGGAATAAGATTCAAAATTTAAGGTCAAATATGTCACAATTAAAAAATCGGGGACCAAAGTGACACGAGTTTCAAACTATAAGAACTGTTAGTACAATTTGTCCAAAAATATTTTATCTTATCATTGTCCCATCATTATCACCACCATCATCTCTACCACCCTACCATACCCGCTATAGTTACTGTTGCTACCGTCACGACTGTTGTCGCTACAACTCCACAGTCACCACAACCACCCTACCACTATCACCACCTCCAACCTCCTCTACCCTGCTGTTATTATCACTATCACCTTACGATTGTTGTTGCTACACTACTCCTATCATTGTCGTCATATCATCACTGTCACAATCACTGTTAGTATCACCACTACCACTATCACGATGCCAATGCACTACAGCCTTAATTACTTGTAAATATAAGAAAACAATTTAAAAAAATATAGAGAGAGATAGAGAAAAAAAAAATTAGTGTGTTTAATTTCAGTTTTCTGAATTTAGGCTCTGTTTGGGAAGAAAAAAGCCAGGATTTTTTGGCTAAAATAGCCACAAAAAACAAAACATCAAATCCAACCCATAATCATTACAATCCTCTCTCACAAAAAAAGCCAAAAAGGCCAAAAAGCCTTTCCCAAACCAGGCTAAAATAGCCCAGGCTAAAATAGCCAAAAAGCCAACCCACTTCCCAAACGGAGGCTAGTCTTTTAAAAATTGAGTTTTTTTTTTGTGTTTTTTTTTTTGAATATTTTTGAAATTTTAAGTCCTTTTTTTTTAAATACCTTTTTTAGATGTATCTCATTTAGATGTATCTAAAAATTAAAATATTTGTAAAAAAATATTTTAAAAAATCAATAAATTCACAAGATTACAAAAAATGTAATAAATTCTCATTTTTTAATTTATATTTTATATTTTTGATATTTAGTGAGTTTTTTAAAAAAAAATTTACGAAAATTATACTTTTTAAATATATTTATGTTAGGTGTGTCTAAAAATTAAAAAAAAAATACTTCAACTATTAAAAATTCAGTAAAGATAAAAAAATAGAAAAAATAAAGAAAGTATAATTTTCTAAAAAATATTTTTAAAAAACTAAAAACAAACATGATAATTATGTTTATATTATAATTTTCTTAAATTATACACGCATCGTCTGTACTCGCTACTAGTCCATTATGTGAACCCCTGTATCACGTCCATGATGTGCTTAAATCCTGTTTCCCAAAAACGGTAATAAAGGAATCTAGGCATGCATTTGTGTTCTTGTGTTGTGTCGGGACAGATTGCCACGTCCTGTCAAGGCAATTAGGTAAGTGTTGATATTAACATCTTATTAATTATTTTAAATTTTTTATTTTTTAAACTTTTTTTAATATAATAATAATCTAAAAAAAATTACTAAAAAAGACATTAATAATTCTAGGACACCTCATCTCGCAATTAAGCTCATATATCCATTACATTATGAGTTAGGATTTATGAGAGCACCCACTTCCATCACCACCCATCAATATTCCCCAAATCCCACATTCAAAGCCTGCCCACCTTCAAAACCTCAAAAATCTTTTAACGGCAATATTCTGATGGCAACGGTGGCAACCATTTAATTACATACATTTCTCCGGTAATAATAATGAGTGAAAGTTTTTTCAGCAACTACAATTCCATAAGATAAGAGGAATATAACAATAAAAGCTTAAAAGGAGTTTATAACTTTGATGATATTCTTAACTCATAAGAGATTGGCCTTATAATAGTAAGTTTCTTGAAAAAATGACAAAAATAATAAAAAATTGTTCTTCACTTTTTCCAAACTAAACTCTCGAATATATGATTGAAATTCGGGAACACATGCCCGAACATTGTTTATTTGTTCAGGAATAAATAACCGAACATTTCTTATTTATTTGGGAACAAATAACCGAAACAGCAACAGAAACAAATAAACAAAGGAGGTTGGACCACCCTTGGGTGGTCAACTAGCCAGTCGACCAGGGGTGAGATCCTACCCAATTTTGCTCATATAGAGAGCATACTTAGAGCATCTCCAACGGTAGTAGGCATTTTACCTATCTGAATATTACTATAAAGTATATATTTTATTTTGCCTATCAACTGTTTTATGTTTTTACTCCAACCATGCTCTTTATTTTAGCTATTTATCTAAATACTATTAATTTTATAGAATGCCATGTCAACAACAAAGATGGAGGGAAATGATCCTAATGATTGAATACATTTTGCCTAGCGTTGAAGGCTAGCTACATGTAGCTAGTGAATATGAGTTGAGCCAAAATGCCTAATCATATGCCTAGTGCGTTGGAATTGAAAAAAGTGAATCACACTAGGCATTTTAACTAACAAGTATGATATACCTAGTGCATTGGAGATGCTCTTAGCTATTAAGTTAAAATATGGAATCAGTTTTGGTGGTTTCTTATTTTTGACGCTATTTTTATTCTCAAAATAAGGCTTTTCTTTTGTTTTTAGTGCCACTAAAAACATAAAATAAATAAATAAAAACCTTAAATAAATCCCAATCATAATTACCTTAGAAGTTAACCAACAGAACATCTTGACATATTCATCGATGTGTGATAGTCATCTTACACGTCATATTTTATAAAATCTTGATTATTCTAATAAGTAAGCAAGCCAGGGACTGATCAAAGAGTCCTCAAGTGTCAAAGCTATGGAGTTTTTCCCCTTGGAGATCTCCAAATGATATGGGCTGGGTCGAATCAAATAACAGATTTCTTAAATTTAACTATAATAATTTCAAATTTCAAAATGTGTTTAAGTTAACTTCTTTAATTTTTGAATTGATTTCGAAAGAACTGAACACAAGTCAAACTCTCAAATCTAGTAATAGATTGTTCAAATTTAACAAATTTCAAAATATATTTAAATTTAGCTTGTTTACATAATGAGTCAATCACAGATAATTTTTGACAAATCGAACACAAATCGAATAGCTAGATTCGTTTGGTAGGTTTGTACTTGAATGGGATCAATATTTACGACTTGCCGATACAAACTCCCCTGTTCTTGGTCAATATTGTGTGTAATCCTTGAATGATCATTGGATTGACATGGTAGATAAAACACCCTTTTTAAAAGTTGTGCAACCACAACTTCAGTGGAAAGAACACATGACTCTACAAAAATTGTGAAATCATTGCAGGACTTTTTTTTTTTTTATTAATAGTTTTGAAAAGTTGGTAAAAACTAACTTTTGACTTTTTAGCAAGTTTTTTGATTTTTTTTTAAAGTGATTTGAAAAGTTGGTAAAAAATTGACTTTTTACTTTTTAGTTTAATATTTATTTATAGTGTCAAATCAAATTAAAATAACCAAAATACCCTTACCCAACATAAAAGATTTATTTTTTTATTTTTTTTCATAGGCCCTAATTTGTAACTTCACAGCTGCGTTTTTGACACTTGCCAAATGACTTTTCTGGCGTTTTTAACAGCCACGTTTTTAGACATTTTATCCAAAAACGTGACTTTTTACCATGTTCCCAAAATGACACTATGTATTGTGGGCTTTAGTTGAAATTGTGTCCTGAAATTATAATTTTTTGACTTGAAAACACAACTTATTCCTAGTTATGATATTATGGTTCAGGAATTTCACCCCATACCTAGTTAAGATATTACGGTTGAAATTGTGTCCAATGGCTTATTCATTGTTTTTTTTATTATTATTGCTACGTATGGTAAGGGTAAAACTCGAACTGGACAGAGCACCTACCAAATTATAAAAATGACAATTCAGCATTCAATGTTAAGTAAGCTCTCTCCCACTAAAAATTTAGAAATTTTTGAGTGAATTTTTCAGTGTTAAAGAGGAAGCTGATTATACATTTTGTCAAATAATATATATTCAATTAAAATTTTCAGGTCTACTCGATAATGGGGTTATCAAAAAACCTACTTGTTCAGAGTACCCTTTAATTTTTAAATTTAAACTAAATCAGACAACTAAAATGACATGTGTTTGGTAGGAGAAAGACAAAAAGAAAAGAATAGAAATCAAGGGAGTTGAGAGAGGAAGTGGTCAGAAAGGAAAGAGAATAAAATATCCAAGGCTTGTTTAAGTACTCATACTTCATATATTTAGGAACAACATTCCAATCTTATTTATCATACATTCCTAAGAGCCAATCCAATTATTTTTCACCAAAGATCATTACAAACAGTCTCAGGAAGAAATCAGTACATACTAAACGAATCATTACCATATCGTACACTTTATATTTAAGTTGAATCACAAAATTACCTGGAAAGAAAGATATACAAACATGGTTCACCCCTTGATCTGCACATTCAACCTAAGCAATCATATTCCGTGGGGAGCATATTTCTCTCATTTACAGTTAACCCTCAGAAGTTAACGTATCTATCATTCCCAACCAGCATCAAAGAAACCAGCATCCTTCATCTCCGAGTAGTACACGTTTTCTAAATGTAAATCTTCCTCCTGTTGTCACCACATAAAATTAAACAAAATGACCAGGTTCTTATAAATTTTTTTAAAAAAATAAAAGAATAAAAGGGAAGTAGAAGAGAGAATATGAGACAGATGCTGACCTGAAAAAAGTCTGCCAGAAATGTCACATATAGAAGGGGGAGATAAAAGGAATGGTAGCAAACAACTGTGACATCATACAACCTGTAAAACAAAATTAAAAAATAATCACAGAATAAATTATCCTAGGACTGTAAAGCTCAATTAAAGACTTGACGAAATACTTCATGTGTAAGAGCATCTCCGGAAGTGTAGTAATTTTTGTGCTATCCAAAAGTGCACTTTATATAGATTTGCTACAAGTTTTTCCAGCATTGTGTGGTATTTACTGTGCTAAAATAGCACAAGTGCTATTTACTATGTAATATTTTTTGTGCTATTTTTTATTCATCTATCTATCAATCAACCACCATTCTCGTACATATCAATTAAAATATTTCTGGTGTTATCACTAAAACATTTGTGTTGGATTAATTGCAGAATAAACACGGTGGTCATTGAGGGGAAAAAGAATATTGGTTATTAATTGATAGGTGAGGGTTTCAACTTGTTTGATGTTGGATTAATAATGACAAAATAAATGGGCTTTGTGCATAGATGTAAACTTTATCTTCATGTTTAATTTATATCAATTTATTTATGCCAAATTATCTCACACTTAATTTATCTGCACATGAAAGTTGTAACAAGTGATGAACTCAAAAAAAAAAAAAGTCAACTGGTCAAAGATGCAGTATAAAATAACATTGTGCTATTTTAACACTGCTAAATACTGCATTGCTGGAGGGGTAATGAGTTTGAGGCATACCAGAACCCAAATCCAGCCCTGTGTCCGGTAAGTGCACAAGCAAACAGAGCCATAGAATTCAAGCAAAACATAATGATGACATAGTTGTAGAATGTAGGTCTTGCTGTTAGAAATAAGAAAGAAGCAAAGGTAAATAAAAATCCATTTGATTTAAGATCGCACATTAAGATCGCACTAGAAGATAATGTGCAACATATAAGAAATTCATTGTTAAAAACAACAGTAAAATAAAACAAAATACTGACCAGGTAACCTTTCTCTCCATCTTGAGTGGTAGATGAATAATATGAAGCCATAAACAGCAGTAAGCAGCAGCTTGTGGACAACCCACAATCCCCATTTTAGCCTATGCGGATCTTCAAAGTTATCAATGAACAAAGGGATTGCAAATCCGAAAAGATAGATGGCCTGAAAAGGGAGCACATATCAAAGTGCAATCATTATATAATAAAATGCAGTAACAAAGGCATTCCAAACAAGCTTAGAAAAAAATTGTGATGGTCATATGCCTCGAGACCCCCAACGCTCCAAAGAAGCCAAGAAAACCTATCCGAGCTCTTCTTGCTGTAGCCTTACTTCATGCCTCAAACCTCTTCCCCCTTTCAATCAATTTAAACCAATACTCAGATTCACAAGTTAACCTCACATTTTTCTGTCTTGGGCTTCATATGCGAGACATTTTTAGGCCTGGTTTGGCATACCAGGAAAAATCTAAAAAGCTAAAAAGTTATTTAAAAAGTTAAAAAGTTATCACTATTCACAAATTAAAAATATAAAAAAATTAATTTCCCCAATATTTTAATACAAACAACGACTGGACAGCGTTGGTACTGTCAGTACGTATTGGTCTGTCCAAATGAACAAAAAAAAAAATTAGATGTATATATTTATTAAGTTGGAGAGTAATGTTGGGCCCGTGGGGGCCCAACATGGGTCCGTTTTTGATAATCCAAACCATCTGTTCAATGTGTAGAACTCATCGAGTACTATATACCTGTAAAAAATCACGTTGATCGGATATAAATAGCTATATGATCGAATCAGATTTTTTTTCAGCCGTTTATTTTTCACCATCCATTAATTTCATACAAAACTGTTTTGATCACATAACTATCAATATCTGATTAAAGTGATTTTTTATAGGCATATAGTACTTAACAAGTTCTACACATTCAACGGTTCAGATTATCGAAATGGAACTTTTGGTGAGCCCCACAGCCCAATAGTACCAGTGAAGCCTCATGCACGATTTCAACCCAGCCGTACTTTCCTCTGCCGCTTGTCACTGATGATTTTTCCATGTAGGGTAAAAACGTAATTTTGCCATGTTATACAATATTTTAATACATATTTTTTCGTAAAAAGACAAAAAGTTATCCCAAACAATCATATTTTTTTCCTCAACTTTTTAGTCCAAAAAGTCAAAAAATGCACTTATTTAGGACACCCAAACAACCCTTAAGTTGATACGGAAAACAATGTACACCAAAAGCCCTTAAAATGTGGATCCTCTGTCTATATTTTCCTCATTAACTTGAGAAATTCAAAAAAAAAAAAATCCAAGAACTATTTGTAATAGTCGAGATATTCTGGAAAAGTTTGACAACTATTGAAATATACAGAATAAACCTTGCTTGTTCATGTAATCAATAGAAACACAATTCAAGTTGGGGTCAGATAGAGATTTCATCAAACCTACCCACTCCTAGCCTGCCTTACCCTGATTAAACTTGAATAAGCACAATGCAATCAAGTTAAACTGGACTTGCAAAAAGATAATATTGATTGATAGATTCATGTTTTTAAGTGTTATTAGAAAGTCTTCTTCTTCTTCCCTCTTTGTCTTTTTTGATATTTTTGTCTATCTAATCTTTTGCTCTTATTTACTTTCTGCCTCTCTTTCTTTCTAGATTTTTTTTACATCTCTTATCTCCCACTCCTATCTTTTTATTTCTCTCTCCTATATTCTTCTCTCTCTTTCTCTCTTGCTATCAATGCTCTCTTTTATGCTCTTATTGTCGCTTTCTATCTTTCATATAATACTAAAGCAAAACCAATATATTTATTTGCCCATAATATGTTCAACAAAAATATTTAAGCATTTCCCATGTCATCATTTTTTCCTAAAACTGTTTAAACAATATTCCCATAGGTAACCTTGCCCCTGTTTCAGGTTTGCAGAATATTTTTCCTCCTAAGGCCAGGACAGGGGGGGGAGACAATGATATATGATGAGAATTGAGCCATAGCACATAATTGCCTATTTTACCCAAAGGCATAAGTTGTGCATCAGAGTTGGATAAGTATGATAATGAGGAGACCCTTCGCCGACCCTAGTCCCAATCTTCACATGAAATTACATAACCAATCACAAATAACAACTTTGAAATAGGAGTAAATAATACTTTGCACCCCTGCACTTCACATTGAATCCCACATTGGTCCTTCATTTTTAATTGTAACAATCAACTCCTTGCGCTTTGGCTTGGTTGCAATGGGGCTCTATTGTCAATTTGGTGCTAAATTGGCTCACAAAAATTATCATGTGACCTAACTGTATTTTCTCTTTCTACTGAAAAAAAAAATGGAGGAAGGGGTGGGGTTGGCCATTAGTAGTGGGAAGGAGTGCAGTAGCTTTGAGTAGGGGGAAGGGGTGCAGTGGTATTGGGTGGTGGGAAGGGCTGGAGCTGGCAGGCAATGAGTGGTGGGAATAAATGGGGCCTGCTGGAAAAGGGCAGGGTCAGTGGTGGTGGGTTTAGAAAATACAGTAGAGAGAGGAAGTACAATGGAGAAATAGAGAATGTAAAAAAAAGTACATTTTCGCCCCAAAAATTTCTCAGGTCACATGATTTCCGCTATGTGAATTTAACACCATACTAACAAAATGGCCATATTGCAACTTGATCAAAGGTGCAAGGAGTCGATTGTTGTGTTACAATTGAAAAATAATAGACCAAAGCGAGATTTGATATAAAGTGCAAAGTGCAAAGTGTAATATTTGAGAAGTATACTTTAAGATGAACATCAAAGAATACCTTGAGAAGTATATCTAAACCAACAATGAGTCCTGAGACAACAAATGTACGTGTTAAAGCTTCGAGCCCACTAGCATGATTTCCTTGTAGTAAGAAGGCCATCAAGCTTACTTCAAGAAACAACATTCCAGATGTCGTAAACAAAGACAAGATGTTCCATGCCATTTCTTTGCCAGCAGTGCATTCCAATGCCTGTCTCGATAAACAATAGCTCATCAGACAACAGCAAAGCATAAGACCAGCAGCACTGTGATAGATAAAGAGTGATCCAATATTCCGTATAGCAACATAGTAGACATAACATAAGAGTGGTCCTAGTAGCTTTGAATGCTGTTATGCAGCAATCACCACTGAATATAATGTATAAGATGATGCTGGTAACTGGCCAGTTCTATGACAATTTGTTGGCAATTTTAAGGATGACTTTTCCCATGATCTAGTACCTCCGAATAAATATTTTGAGCAATTGAGCATTCAATATAGTAAACCAATGTACACAAATCAGGTTCAAATTACACAAATTAACTTAAAATAGGAACACTTTTTTCATCATGTTTAGCGCATAATAGCCATAATGTTGGACATGAACTAAGACATCAACGAGGTCAAGAAGTTAGTTCTCCTGTTAATCATCTTGTCCTCCCATGAGATAATAATAACTAAACTAATTTGTTGATTCAATTATTTACACATCCTAATAAGAATTTATTTTTCCCTGGCCAGAATAATAATAACTCTTAAAGTTAAACACATTTTTCTTTGAAGTTTCCAACATTTTCTAATATCTTCAAGCATGTTATGCTATTTTCCGTAGGCTTTCCAAAATGTTTCTGTTGTCAATGAACATAACTCATAGTCCAAGAAACTATTGAACCATGTCATCTACTAAACTGCCAATTTTCCATATTCCATTGCACAGAACCGCAAGGAACTAGCTAAATTTTACTAAAACAGTTGCAACATATTCTTAACATAAAATTTATTGATTTCAACCAATTCACTGAAACAAATAGCAGCATTGATCTTATTTGCCAGCTTGCTTCCCCCATATCCCATTCAAACTCTGAAAGACAGATTTACGTTGAGTCCAACAAGTTGTCAGCAAATGGCTAATTTGTTAGCGAACACATATTTATCAGATGCGTTGCTAGACTTAGTGAATTGGGTCATTCTAAGAAACACAAAATGACAAAAAGTTATAATCTCAATACAATTTTTACCACATCCCAGCACACTTTTATATATTTTTATACACTTCTTACACATTTCCAACATGAGAAAGGCTACCATGTGCACCGTTTTGTATGAATATAACTTTTACCACAAAAAACATAACTTTGTCGCTCATAAGTGCCATAACTTCATCATTCATAACAATCACCACAAAAATTCTTAACTTTCTCGATGAAATTGTAACAAATTGCAAATTTTCTTACAATGACAGCCCTTTCCTTGTGAGGTATGTTATAGTACTTTAGCACCTCAAAACAACCAATTAAACCAATAAAAGTAACAATTTCACACCATTCCAAACACTACCAATTCTCTTGACTGAAAATTCACACACACACACACAACAACCAGAGAGAGAGAGAGAGAGAGAGAGAGAGAGAGAGGCTTTAAAGCACGAACCTGAAGTGAGCACCAAGCAAGATTGAGAACGCTAACGAGCCAAAGAACACCGTAATACGAATTCATTATATACGACCGACCATGCGAAAGCTTCGCAAAGCTCTTCTTGGCGTGAGACGCCAAGTACACGACGAACAAAGCCGAAAACAGAATCAAAGCAAGGTTGTGCCAAAATCCATGGCAATCGAACAACCACCCGTACAGTCTGGGGCCGTAACCACCTCCTTCTGCTGCTTCTTCTGGGGTTGAATTCGAGATCGGGGAAGGAAGTGGAACCCCTGGAACGAACTCGAGAGCCCTCATAGTTGCTTCAATCGCAAGCTCGAATGCGAAGAAAGTAGAAACCCTAGAAATAAGAGTGCAATCAAGTAGAAACCCTAGTATGTGGACATTTATGTATAGAAAGTTGATGATCTGTGGTTGAATCAGTTGTTGGAAATTGAGGATTGTTTGGGATGAGTAATTTTTTGATTGGGAGATGGTGCTTTCGTGTTGAACGCATTTCCAGACTCCAAAACCCACCCACCCTTCGTAGACTTTTTATTTTTTATTTTTTTAATTAGACTCAATGTAAAATATTTATATCAAAAATATTTTACTCATTTTTTTTGTTATTTTTTTAATCAAATTTTTCATTATTTAGTTGAACAAAAAATAAATAAAATATTTTTTACGAAAAATATTTTTACATTATTTTTTTAAAAATAATTTATCTTTAAAAATTTCTTAAAATTATTTTTGTAAAATTGACTCTCACTCATTATATTTTCAACACATTTAACATTTTAAAATAAGTATCTTAATTCACTAAAAATCATAAATAATACTTTGTTAAATTAAAAAAAAAAAAGGCAATAACATGTGTTTTTGTTTTAAGTATAAACCAAGTATCGAAAAATTCAAACAATCTTTTTTTTTTTTGGAATGTGTGTAAAATCTTTTACGTTAAAGTAAAATGGAACCTAAAAAAAAATTAATTTAATATGAATTATACTTTTAAAATTTGATATAACCTATTTCAATTTTTTCGTTGAATTTTTATTTAAAGTATTTTTAAAAATCTTTTATTCTAAATTTTTTCTCAAATTTTTAATAATAAAAATCTCTTTTCTTCTTAAATTTTTATAAATTCTATTTTTGTGAATTGTCTTGCTTGATTGGTTTGGCAACAATCTAAATAGATAGTTTATTTATTTATTTGCTCTTTTGACAACATCTTAAAAAAAATTACTTTTATTTTTTTCATTTTTACTAATTTTTTTTAAAAAAAATGTTTTTTTTTTCCATATTGTTGAGATGATTCTAAACGGTATACTTTTTAAAAATAAAAAATAAAAAAACTCTTAAAAGAAAAACTAAAATAAGCCCAATTTTTTTTAAAAAATTTAGGTTCCTTTGGTGGAGTTTTCAAAATATAATTTCACACTCACTTTGAGTGTGGTGTTTGTTTAGCTTTTCAAAAATTAATTTCACACACACTTTTGAAAACTCTTTGCAAGGGGAAAAATTTGGACTAATCGGTGTCCGGCTAGTTGACCGGAACAATATATTTTTTTTTGTACCTGTTACTTTTTATATTATAAAAAAAATATTTGCGAAATTTTTTAAAAAATTTTAGAATTTTGGATTGTGTGCTTTGTTATGAGTTGTAAATTCTTGTATCAAATATTATGTCACAGATCACCAATTCAAACTCTTTTCAAAACTCATAACCAAACAAATTTTCTACACTCAAATTATAATTCTAAAACTCATAAATTCATTATACAACTCTATTTCTCAAATCATAATTTTTAAAATTCTACCAAACACTACCTTAATAATTTTACAGATTTGTATTGTCGAACTGAATCTATAAACTTAAAGCTTTTGAATTTTTTTTTTAAATTTACTAAAGATGAAAATAAGTAATAAATAAATTGCAAACCCTAAATCATTTGTTTTTACAAGTTATCAAATTTTTTTTTTTTATCTTTTACATATTCTTTTATAAGCAAACCCCAAGTCATCTCCCGAGTGAGGCAGGTCATGCGTCCATATAACTACTTGTGTGGATGAAGAAGTGGAATTTTCTGTCAGAAATTTGACATTTAGGGTGGCTGCTGTTTCTTCTTGTTCATTTTAGCTTCCACCATCTTAAAAAACAAAAAAACAAAAAACAAAAAAAAACACTTTAGTGAATTATTACTATAAATTGAAAATAATTTTCTAAATTTATATGAAATTTAAATTCAATAAAAAAAAATAAAAGATTGAAAATGCTATTAGACGAGTAGGTGAATACATTGCATGAGTGGAATACATAGTCTCCGTAACTATTTGAATAATTGTAAGATCTTTAATTAACTTGTGACATTAATATTAATTTTATATTTGGATCTCGTTTGAAGGTATGTGTTTGGTTTAAAAAGTTAAAAGGTCAAATACTCAATTTATATCGTTTATTTTTATTTTTTATATTCTTTTATAAAAAAATTTAAAAAAAATTAAAATAGTAATTTTAAATGAACTCTTAATAATTATTGAAGCATGATGGAGAAATAAATTAATGCATATCAAAATGTAATTATGGATAAAGAGTAATGGGAATAATGGTGGTGTGAGGAAGGAAAGGGGTTTGGAATCACAGCCGTGCAAACTCCCGGCGGTGAATGTTATGCGGTTTATAAAATTATTTCAGGATTTTATTTTCATCATTTAAATTATTTAATTTTTAAAAAATATTAAATAGAATAGTATATTTGTAAGAAAATTAAGTTAATTGGGTATTGATAGACCCTTCATCAACTGAAATTTGTATTAAGTTTAATACTTATATATTTATTTTTATAATATACAAAATCTAGTTGATGAAGGGTCTGTTAATATCTGATCAAACTAATTTTTTTCAGGTATGTTCTACTCAATGTTATTTAAAATTGAACGCTTCAGATGATGAAAATAAGTCCAAAAATAATTCTCATGAACCGCACAACAGTCACCTCGCTGTGCAAGGATTGCATATCAATGACCCTGCTTCGGGAAAAAGCCCGTGCTCTACCAAAAATGAGACTTGTCTGATCGAGACGAATATATAATATAGGATTGAAATTGTTAAGTTAACAGTATGACATGCCTATTATTTGTTTGTAAATTTTATTATTTGGATTAGATTTTAATGGTCATTTTATTCAAACAAAATTGGACAATTTTTAAATCGACAACTGTAAGTAAACTTCTAAAACATATCATATACTAGAGATTATATATTTCAAATCCTATTCCCGCAAGAAAATGTATATAAGAGAGAATTATGATATCTCACTAATTCGAATAACTGAATAACTAATCTTAAACTAATAAATTAATGTTTAAGATCTCAAATAAATATACCAGTTTTGTAAACTAATTTCATATAGTTAATCACCTCACTTTTAATTTAGGTAAAATCAAACATGCCCAAATGGTATTAGTCCAGAGGAACTCGCCGGCATTAGTAGAACGGGCTGAGATTCACCACTTACTCTTTTTTCTTGTTAATCCATAAAGAAAAATGTTATAATCCCTTAATTTTTATTAAATGAATGATTTAATGGCTCAAATAAGTTGAGCGAGGTCCATAAAACTATACACTTCAGACAATTTAGTTATTTAATTTAGTAAGAAAATGTTAGTATTCCCTAATATTATCCATTCTATATATATTTTCAATATTTTATGTTTAGATGTGGATAATATCTCTT